GGGCCCGAGATGGGCACCACTGCTGGTGGGGCCACGGCCGGCAGCACCATGAGCTCCTGCAGCACCACGTAGCCCGGGGGGGCCACCACGACCGCGGCTGGAGCCCCTGGTCCCGAAGCCCCGGCGCCCCCTGCGGCGGGCACCAGCTCCAGCTGCAGCTCCGGCTGCACGGGGGTCAGCTCCAGCTGCACCTCCTGCTGCTGGGCCCCCAGCTCCACGGGGGTCAGCTCCAGCTGCACCTCCTGCTGCTCTTCCAGCTGCTGCTGCTGCTGCTCCAGCTGCTGCTCCAGCTGCTGCAGCTGCTCCTGCAGTTTGAGCTGCAGCTGCCGCTGTTCCTGTTGTCTCTCCAGCTCCTGCTGCCGCTCCAGCTCCTGTCGCTGCTGCTCGAGTTCCTGCTCCGACCCCAGGTCCACTGGCATGAGCTCCAGCTCCACCTCTTCCTCCTCCTCTGGCTCCAGGGGCCGGGGCTGCAGCTGCTGCTGCTGTAACTGTTGTCGTTGCTGCTGCAACAGCTGCTGCTGCTGCAACTGTTGCTGCAACAGCTGATGTTGTAACTGTTGTTGCTGGTGCTGTAGCAACAGCTGCTGCTGCTGTAACTGTTCTTGCTGCTGCTGCAACAGCTGCTGCTGCTGCAACTGTTCCTGCTGCTGCTGTAACTGCTGCTGCTGCAACTGTTCCCGCTGCTGCTGTAACTGCTGTTGCTGTAACTGTTCTTGCTTTTGCTGCTCCTGCTGCAACTGTTCCTGCTGTAGTAACATTTTCTGCTGTCGCAACTGCTGCTGTTGTAGCAGCTGCTGTGGTTGTAACTGTTCCAGCTGCTGCCGCAACAGCTGTTGACCTTGCACTTGTGCTTGTAACGCTCCCTGCTGTTGCAGCAGCTGCAGCTGTGGTTTCAGCTGCTCGTGCTGCACTGACTGCGGTTTTCCCTGTGGTTCCTGCTGTTGTTGCTGAGGCGGCTGCTGTTGCCCATCCTGCTGCCGCTGCTGCTGTTCCTGCTGTCGCTGCGACAGCTGTGGCCCTTGCACGTGTCGCTCTCGCGACGGTCCCTGCTGTTGCGCCAGCAGCGGTTGTGGCTTCAGCGGCTGCTGTTGCAGCGGTTGGTGTTGTGCCTGTGGTTCCTGCTGTTGTTGAGGCAGCTGTTCTTGCTCATCTTGCTGCTGCGATTCTGGCGCATGTCCTGGTCGCTGGTTTTGTGGCGGCTGCTGCTGCTGCAGCTCCGGCTGCAGTTCTAACCGTCGCAGTGGCGACTCCTGCTGTTCCGGCCGGGCTTCCTCAGCGATCTCACTGGCCTCCATCGGGGCTGAGACTGCTGGCCGTGAGGGGCTGTTGCTCCTGTCCTGAGCCTCTTCTTCCTCCTGACTCTCACTCCCACCACTGCCACCTGTAGTGGAAATGGCAGGAAGCCAGGAGAGAAAGATCTACAGGCCGCTCTCCGGTCTAGACCCCAAGGACCGCCCCCGTTCCCCTGCCCCATGTACGGTCATGCTGGGATATACGACCGAGCTCTCAGCAGGGACTCGAAAGGTCTTGATCAAGGGACAACGGCAGCATGGCAGAAACCGAAATGCCCAGAGGTGTGGGGTTGGCTTAGAAATGTGTCCGAAGTACTGCTGGTCATGTCACTCTGGACCCCAGAGCCCTGGGCCTCCTCTGGGCCTCTCCCCACACTGGTCCATGCTTAGATCTTGACAGTGACACCAACATGGGTGCCTAGGCTACCCAACACCATTCCCTGAGAAGTCCCCTGTGCCTAATCACCATCCAGTGGGAATCTGTGAACCAGCCATTTCAAGCCGCAAGCCCACAAGCCCACTCTGACGTCAGTTAGGGTCACACCTGACATAAACGAAACTCACCTTCTCCGTAAAGAATAAAGAATCTCTGTAACACCGCCTAGAAGTGTTAGCGCAAGCGGTGGCTAAAAGTCACCAAAGTGCCAGAGAAAACGCGCGGTTTCTATTGGGAGGCCCTTAGTTCAGAGGACTCTACTCTGGTCCTAACTGCCAGTCAGCAGCTGTCCAACCTCCTGCAGGCTCAGAGCCCCCCTTGTCTGTAAATAGCTTAACAATATCCACCCCGCCAGCTTCATGAGTGAAGCAGAAAGGGTCCTGGTACATCCCCTAGAACCTGGTAGATGCCTAAAAAATCCATCTCCCCATGGGTTAGGAATTAGTTTGCACATTAACAGTTTGGAGATGCCGAGGATACAACTAGCTCCATCTGAAATGGCCTAAAGACTGGAAGTGTTTGAGATAGTTATTCTAGCGTGGAAAGGACTAACTCCCAGCCCCAAGGTAACATGGTGACTGGCCGATTACTTAACCTCTGGGAACCTGAGCTTCCCCATCTGTCAAAGGAGGTGAATCCTTTTCAGGGACAAACACACAGCCCCAGAATTGTGCGAGTGCAGAGTAAGCCCTGGTGAACGGGAGCCTCTCGGTTTTCACGTTCACCTTCTACGCAACATCCACACGCAGTTGCTCGCTTCGAGCATGATGGCTGGGGTCGCAGAAATGCTGAAGAGGCTTTCTCCATTCCCAAGTCTGATTTCAACATCTCTTCCTCCTACAGCATCATATTTTCAATTTCCTAACAGAAAGCAGAGGCCTGATCTATACAATTTTCCTTTCTGGCCACTTTCCCACTATATCGATTTAATAAAACCAAGGGATATCTATATGGAAATAATTTCCTTTTAGAAAACTATTCCTAATAGCCTTTGCTTCAGTTACTGGATCAGTGAATGCGTTCTTCATATACGCTGACCCCAGTGGGATTACGCGAGTGGTGAGTGAAGACTGCCGTGAACACCTGTCCCCCGGCAGACCCGAGGTCTTGTAGATGCCCTTCTCCCGCCACCTCTGGGAGTGGCAGGGCCACACGCCCCCTCTGCGTGAGCCCTCAGTGTCTGCATGGCCGTTCCTGACTTCTTGCAGGAGCAACGTCAGCATTTTTTAACGACGATGTTTTAGTAAATGTATAGTGAAGTGTCATCTGATGTGTGCACCCTCACAAGATCTTTGTCAGTTAAATAATTAAGCCAAAAGAGTTCTCATTTAGTCCACATGTCCCCATCTGACCCCTGCAATACCCTTGGTCCTTTTAATGCTCTGTCAACCTGCACCAGCCCCGCACTCAGCGTACTCAAGGCACAGGGTGGGATCAGCTCCCAGAAACGCAGCCACAGTAGAGGGTCTGCCCAGAGCGGGTCCCAGAGGGAGAAGGAGCCTTGGAAGGTTCTACAGGGTCACATTTGCCTCTGGGCAAAGGGGGAGAAAGATGGATGGAAGTGGAGATCAAGAAAAAAGTGGGTAAGGTCAGAGGCTGTGGGGCAATGAATGAGGCCTGAGGGGCAGAGAGGGAGAGAGCCCCTCAGCCACCGAATTCCACCTGTGAACTTTGGTCCAGAGCCAGAGACGTGTGGCGGCCACCTGACTGCTGTGGAAACAGCAGCAGGTCCCAGCCAGCATATACCCAGCGTCTGGGACACAGGCTGAGATTGTCTGCACTGCCTGGTGTCCCTTCCCAGTCAGACCACAGCCCGCAGAGCCACCTCACAAAACCCTGAGCTGGTCCTGAGCTGGCGCCGCTTGCCCTCCACAGCCAAAACGGCCAGGAGGGTGTCCTCCCAGACAGCAGGCTGCCTCCCGCTCCTCAGGCCCCTCTCTCAGCCACGGCAGGCCCGAGGCTCTGCTGAAGGATGCTCGTCAGGGGCCTGAGGACTACCTCCTGGTTTAGGAGGTCGAAGGCCCCCCAGCCCCTCACCTGAGATGGTGTCAGGCCCTGGGCCTCCATCTTCAAGACACCGCAGCTCTAGCACGAAGGTCTCGGTCGCTGGCCCCAGCGCCATCCTGGTGGTCAGACCAAGATTCCGGGGAGCCGGCTGTGCTGAGAGGAAGGAAGGAGGCTGTTGAGATGGGCAGCAGGGCTGTGAGCCCCCACCCATGGCACTGACTGCCACGGAACCCCCAAATTTGCCTCGGGCGCCCAGAGCAGGCAGCTCTACCCCTACTGGACAGGAGCACAGTGCAGCCCGCAGCTGGGCCAGGGAGGGGCGAGGACAGCCTGGAGGTTCAGCCCCGGGCCCACCCCCCTGCCTTTCCCTCCTGACTTTTCGCAAGCCCCCCCGCAAGTCAGCCCCACGCCTAGGGCCCTGCAGCTGCTCCTCGTTGAGACACTGTGCGAAATCAGACCCTCACCAGGACAGGGAGCTGGAGTCCCAGAGGGACATCGGGGGAGTCTGCAGAAAGGAGAGAGATTTGTACATTTCGTGTCCCCCTGTCTTGTTGAGAGCACTGACAAGTCTGTTCTCTCCATGGTCTTCTGCCTCCCAGACCGGGGGTTCACCCAGCCTTCCCAGGCCACCAGCAGGCCACAGGTTCCAGGCCACGTGTGTCCAGGTGCCAGCTCAGCTCCACGGCAGGGCAGGCTTCCAGGGTACCACAGCCCATAGACACGGGCAGCTGCCCGCCTGGCCCTGTGCCCAGGTGCTCTTAAGGTCTGGAGGGTCTCCCGGGGCCCCTTCGGAGGTGGCCCCACATCCAGTCCTCCCTCTTCCTCTAATAGGATGACTCCACGTTTCTCTAGCCTGTCGGCGCCCAGGCCAAAACCTCTTAAGAGAAGCGCCCCGATTTGCCCAGCCCTCCTGCCCGCCGAGCCTCACCTGGTGCAGCATTTCCTGCTCCTGCGGCTCTGCACTAGAGCAGGTGTGGTCAGCAGGGGCTGGAAGGTGAAGGCCAGAGCCCTCAGCCAGCTCCTTCCTGAGGCGCCTGCATCTAGAAAGAGGTGGGGAGGCTCTGGGCCCCCCGGGCGTCTTTCTGGGCACTCGGGAGGGTCTGAGCTGTCAGGGCTGCCCAGGTCGCCCTGGGCCAAAAGAAGGGACAGAGCTGACTTCAAGAGCAGAAGTTGGTGTCGGACGCTGGGGCGGGGAGGGGGCAGAGCCCGGATCCAGCGCTGGGCTCAGAGCTGGCCAGGCGGGACCCTCGCGGGCACCGCGGGCTCCGGGGCGGACCAGGCAGGGTGGTCCG